CCTGCTGAAAGTCCTAATGTTTTCAGAATAATCAGCCTAAAACCCAGTAGATAATATTTTTAAATGAGATTGCAGGCTTTTCCATTAGCATATTTTCTTGGAAGTGTGAATACAATAGGTGTCATAATAGTTTGACCACAGATTTTGGGGTTGTTGGGTTTTTTATTTTGCTTGGTTTTGTTATTGTTTGTTTGTTTGTGGTGTGTTTTTGTGTTTGTTTTTTTTTGTTGTTGTTTGTTTTTTTTTTGTGGGAGTGGAATAGGCTTTTTACTTGGTTCAGTTAGCGTGGTAAATAGACAGTACTTAAAAAGTCCTCTAGAATAAAAAAATACAAACCCAAACATGGCTGTGGGTAGATTATTTGGTTTTGAGTGCAAAGAGCATGTATCCGACCAAATGTAGAATGACATGATTTGAGCAGATGTTTAACAGTAAGTAATCTGGTAGGCTCCCTATTAATCACAGTGTTAAAGCATTTTAAATGAACACAGCTGACTGTCTTAAACTGTCATGTCTGCTGACGCAAAGCAGAGGTGAAAAGCAGGAGGCCTGTTTGTTAGTATCCTGTCTGTAACATCCTGACTCACAGTGGCAGTGATAATCCAATGCATAGAAGCTCCACAGAGTTAGACAGTGCATATCCTTTTGCTTTTCTTGGTTTAGCTCTGCATCTGCTTATATCTAGTTTACTTTGCTGTCTTGTTGGATTAATCATCTTTGAAACAGAATGAAGTGATGCCTTTTGTTCAACTAATTACAGCTTATCTTATGGTAATCAGAACATGGGATAGTGCTGCGTGAGTAGGAAGTGTTGCATTAACTTACGTCCTCAAAGAGCAGTAATTTTGCTATGGATATGTGACTTGGATAGCACTACCACTTGAAGGCAGTGTAGGTTTGTCATTTAATGTCAGTAAAATATTGAGATGCACTGATTTTTGTAATCTTTGAGAGAATTTGTTAGAAGTTTTGCTTTTTTCTTGTGTCTCTTTGGTCCAAACTGGGTGAAATAACTGAATTTTTAGTTAAGTGTATCACATTTTCGTATGTTTGAAAGCTTAATATACTCATAAACTTCTTAATGAGAAAATGCCTTTATAGAGCCTAACAATTAATTTAAAACAACAGA